TTTACTTGAGTATTTCCGTTTTATGCTACTTTGTACTTGTTCTACTTCAGAACTCTGTTTGTCTACAGCAGTAAAATGCGACTTGATGCAACAATATTATCTATAAATGTCACATATATAAATATAATTATAAGCACAATAATGTCTTCTACTTTTTATACTTTACTTACATTTTGCTGATAATACTTTTGTACGTAAGATTTTGAATGCACACTAAAAATATTGAAAACGTCGACTTTAATTAAATGTATTATGTCAACATATTACACATAATTGTATTTGGTACATTTAAATAAAAAAACATGAAGTTCAATATAATAGTATTGCTTTCAACAAGCTTAATACAGTTATGTGACATTTGTTGACATAATACATTTACTTAAAGGGGACCTATCATGCAAAATGCACTTTTGTACGTCTTTTATACATGAATATGTGTCCCCGGTGTTCCAGGGAACTCACCAAGTGTCAGAAAACACAACCCTCTCTATTTTCCTCCATACCCAAATCTCTAAAAAAGGGGCTACAACGGATCTGATAAAAAAAAATCCTGACGTCAGGACGGTGGCGCTACGGCTATTGGGCCAACTCCACCAATCAGGAGGAGACAGCCACGGCCATTGCCGTTCGAAAGCGCTGGAGACGCTGTAGTACATATGCCAGGCCTGTAGATGGTGCTGTTCTCACAGAATCAACCCTTGCAAAAACAGAGCTAAAAAATGTCAAACTGAGCAAAATGAGGCATGGCTAAAATGCATGATCTGTTTGGTATTTTGAAAGAAAAAAATTATAAATATGCCTTATATAGGTATGGTCCTACACTATATTATTATAATATAGCATGATAGGTCCACTTTAAAGTCAACGTTTTCAATACTTTTAGTGTGCTTTCAAAGTCAACGTTTCAGCCTTACAGTGCAGGACTTGTAATGCAGTATTTTGACCATAATGTTTTGGTACTTTTACTCTAGAAAAGCATCTGAATACTTCTTCCACCTCTCAGGGTTAACAGAGGCTGCAGGTCATAGAGACTCTGACCCTCAATGAGTCAACAGTCCTGTGAGCCAGACTGACCTCAGGGAGTCCTACTGCGATCCTGTGTGTGTGTGTGTGTGTGTGTGTGTGTGTGTGTGTGTGTGTGTGTGTGTGTGTGTGTGTGTGTGTGTGTGTGTGTGTGTGTGTGTGTGTGGTGTGTGTGTGTGTGTGTGTGTGTGTGTGTGTGTGTGTGTGTGTGGTGGTCGTTGCCCCGCGAGGGATGTAAATGGAAGAAAAACAAACATGCTAACCAGTGGTGTAACTAAGGACTGTATTTCAGTACATTGGCACATTTTTTCCTACTTTGTACTTCTACTCACCACAATTCAGAGGTACATGTTGTACTTTTACTCCACTGCATGTATTTAATACCTTTAGTTACTTCACAGATCTGGATTAATGATGTGAAATCTAATCAAGTGTTAAATCAGACTTTAGTTCCACCTGGAGTAAATTCACAAGCTACCCTGCAGTATACAAAGTCATTCAAACTAGCTGCACCTTTACCAGCTTTGAGAACACTTTCATGATCAATCATTATAAAACATATCATATATATTATTCTGAAATGGACCAATCTGCACAATGACTACTTTTACTGTCGCTACTTTCACTATATTTTGATGAGAATACTTTTCTACTTTTACTTGAGTAACATTTTGAACGCAGGACTTTTACTGTAACAGAGTATTCCTACACTCTGGTACTTCTACTTTTACTCAAGTACAACATCTGAGTACTTCTACTTTTACTCAAGTACAAGATCTGAGTACTTCTACTTTTACTCAAGTACAAGATCTGAGTACTTCTACTTTTACTCAAGTACAAGATCTGAGTACTTCTACTTTTACTCAAGTACAAGATCTGAGTACTTCTGCTTTTACTCAAGAACAAGTACAAGACCTGAGTACTTCTACTTTTACTCAAGTACAAGATCTGAGTACTTCTGCTTTTACTCAAGTACAAGTACAAGATCTGAGTACTTCTACTTTTACTCAAGTACAAGATCTGAGTACTTCTACTTTTACTCAAGTACAAGATCTGAGTACTTCTGCTTTTACTCAAGTACAAGTACAAGATCTGAGTACTTCTCCCACCTCTGGTGCTAACCCACATTCGATCTCCCTGATGTGCCACCACTGAGATTATGATAGAAGATTGTCTGCTTTACATTTTAAAATATAGCTGACTGAACCTACTTTAAAAATTACTACTTCCACACTTTTACATAAGTATAAGATCTGAGTACATCTTCCACCACTGATAAAAGTCCAAAAACCTCAGCAATGCAAGCAAGAGGATTTTGTCTTTGACTCTTGGTGTGGGAGATAAATGATGCATGGATACGCCAACGTTTTGTTAGCACTCAGTTAGCATAAACCTTTATTTATTTTTAAATAACACTCCTCGTTTTCCGCCTAGATCTTCTCTTTGTAAGGGCATTTATATTTCGCGCATACTTTATTCATTTTGGATGCAAAACAACTGACAGATGAGGAAACGCTGATTGAAGGCTGCTGCTGCTATAGACGCTATCCTCCAAAGATGGCAGCGACAGCCCAGAATGCACCACACCATATATTCCCTCTACACACAAACTTAACACCAACAACTTGCAATATAATTTGGGGCAATACCTCCCCTAGTTAACTGAATGAATGGAAGGTTTAACAAAAGAAAACCATACGCGTCATATCTTAAATGTCACCTATTATGCAAAGTCCACTTCTTCATGTCTCCTCTACATAAACATGTGTCCCCTCTTCTTCATGTCTCTTCTACATCAACATGTGTCCCCTCTTCTTCATGTCTCTTCTACATCAGCATGTGTCCCCTCTTCTTCATGTCTCCTCTACATCAACATGTGTCCCCTCTTCTTCATGTCTATTCTACATCAACATGTGTCCCCTCTTCTTCATGTCTCTTCTACATCAACATGTGTCCCCTCTTCTTCATGTCTCTTCTACATCAGCATGTGTCCCCTCTTCTTCATGTCTCCTCTACATCAACATGTGTCCCCTCTTCTTCATGTCTATTCTACATCAACATGTGTCCCCTCTTCTTCATGTCTCTTCTACATCAACATGTGTCCCCTCTTCTTCATGTCTATTCTACATCAACATGTGTCCCCTCTTCTTCATGTCTCTTCTACATCAACATGTGTCCCCTCTTCTTCATGTCTCTTCTACATCAGCATGTGTCCCCTCTTCTTCATGTCTCCTCTACATCAACATGTGTCCCCTCTTCTTCATGTCTATTCTACATCAACATGTGTCCCCTCTTCTTCATGTCTCTTCTACATCAACATGTGTCCCCTCTTCTTCATGTCTCTTCTACATCAGCATGTGTCCCCTCTTCTTCATGTCTCCTCTACATCAACATGTGTCCCCTCTTCTTCATGTCTATTCTACATCAACATGTGTCCCCTCTTCTTCATGTCTCTTCTACATCAACATGTGTCCCCTCTTCTTCATGTCTATTCTACATCAACATGTGTCCCCTCTTCTTCATGTCTCTTCTACATCAACATGTGTCCCCTCTTCTTCATGTCTATTCTACATCAACATGTGTCCCCTCTTCTTCATGTCTCTTCTACATCAACATGTGTCCCCTCTTCTTCATGTCTATTCTACATCAACATGTGTCCCCTCTTCTTCATGTCTCTTCTACATCAACATGTGTCCCCTCTTCTTCATGTCTCTTCTACATCAACATGTGTCCCCTCTTCTTCATGTCTCTTCTACATCAGCATGTGTCCCCTCTTCTTCATGTCTCCTCTACATCAACATGTGTCCCCTCTTCTTCATGTCTATTCTACATCAACATGTGTCCCCTCTTCTTCATGTCTCTTCTACATCAACATGTGTCCCCTCTTCTTCATGTCTATTCTACATCAACATGTGTCCCCTCTTCTTCATGTCTCTTCTACATCAACATGTGTCCCCTCTTCTTCATGTCTATTCTACATCAACATGTGTCCCCTCTTCTTCATGTCTCTTCTACATCAACATGTGTCCCCTCTTCTTCATGTCTCTTCTACATCAGCATGTGTCCCCTCTTCTTCATGTCTCCTCTACATCAACATGTGTCCCCTCTTCTTCATGTCTATTCTACATCAACATGTGTCCCCTCTTCTTCATGTCTCTTCTACATCAACATGTGTCCCCTCTTCTTCATGTCTATTCTACATCAACATGTGTCCCCTCTTCTTCATGTCTCTTCTACATCAACATGTGTCCCCTCTTCTTCATGTCTATTCTACATCAACATGTGTCCCCTCTTCTTCATGTCTCTTCTACATCAACATGTGTCCCCTCTTCTTCATGTCTCTTCTACATCAACATGTGTCCCCTCTTCTTCATGTCTCTTCTACATCAGCATGTGTCCCCTCTTCTTCATGTCTCCTCTACATCAACATGTGTCCCCTCTTCTTCATGTCTATTCTACATCAACATGTGTCCCCTCTTCTTCATGTCTCTTCTACATCAACATGTGTCCCCTCTTCTTCATGTCTCTTCTACATCAACATGTGTCCCCTCTGTGTAAAGAGACTCTGAAAGATTCAGGAACAAAGATTCTCTCTCTTTTTGTCCTGATCCATTTCTATAAAAACCTGTCTGAAAATGAGCTGATCAGATTTTGGCCACTTTGTGATGTCATAACGATGTTATCACCTGAATCTCCTCCTAGAGCACCATTGAGTTCTTTTTAACCAAATCTCTCTCAGAGGGGCGTGGGGAGTGGCTCCTTATTTTCATCTAAAGTAACAGACAGAGAATCAGCACTTTTGAAACAGGGCTGAAACAGAGGGGATTAAGGGATGCTGCAATGATCTGTTTGGTGTTTCAGCCAATCAGAGACATGTTCTGTATATATCTGAGACCTATAATATATTCAGGAAAATCAGTATAATAGGGGACCTTTAAAAAAAGAAACACAGATGCATATCTTCTCAGCATATTTACCATCGATAGGTGACGTCCTCAGTCTGGCACACAGTCCGTTAACGTCTCCGTAGCTCTCCTTGATCCTGGTGAGAGACTCCTCTCCTCTCAGCTCCATGACGGAGCGCAGCTCCTGCAAAGTGCAGCTGAACTCCGCCTCGTGGTTTGTCTCGCCACGCCGCCCATGTTTGGACCCCCGAAAAGAGTTGGTGGCCATGTCTGCTTCCTCTGGGACTCTTCAGAGGCCTCCCAATAAATAACACAGACTCAGTATTCAGCCTGAGGTGCAGATCTGGCCTGACAGGGACTCTGTGACTGCAGAGGGAGAGACAGAAGAGGTCATTTCAGACATCTTATGAGAAAACAGATCAGTAAAACAAATACAGAAGTATCACCACAGAAAGGGGCCTGATTGGCTTCAGCAGTTAGGACTGGTCACATGACACCAAAGTCATTTCCTTACATTTGTTTCTGATAAAGTGTGGTTTACACTCTAATCCTCATCTTAGATCATTTCAAGTAAAATAAGAACTGCTTGTGAAAATAAAATACATAACGGGGAACTGTGTGCTTCACAACGAACAGACTCTGAGTGTAGAGTATTGTGCTCCGTTGTAACTCTGTTAATACACCCATATTGCACCATTATTATATCCATGTTTCATCCAAGTTAGGCTGTTATAACACCCATATAACACTGTTATTACACCCCTTTTACACCAATATTACACTGTTATTACACCCCTTTTACACATTATTATACCCATGGTACACCATTATGACATCTACTACACCCATATTATACCCGTGTTGCCCCTATGTTACACTGTTTTTACGCCGAAATGACATTGTTTTTAGATTCATATAGTTTAAAAGAAATCAGCTAAAAACCTAATTGTTGATGCACAACGAACAGACTCTGAGTGTAGAGCGTGTTGTGCCTGCTGGTGTGTGAATGGAAAGCCTTTACTGTATGTCTGTTCCTCAAAGTTGTGACCTCTGTGCTTCAACTGTAATCTGTGTCAATCAGTCAGCCGAGGCTTAATCTGAGCGAGAGAGAAGCAGCCTGTTCAAGAAAAGACCTGCAGCGAGGTGAGCAGGCTGAACACAGATCAACTGGGCAAACTGGAGGATAGTATTTGCTCTTTCTCGCTGCACAAAGCTTCTTTACTGAATCCAACCAACAGTCAAGTTACTAATTTTTTTAATATTACACCCATATGACACTGTTATTACCCCCATATTACACATTAATACACTCCTATTTTACCCCTGTTACACCATTATTACACCCGTAATACCACCCTTATACCCTTGTAACAGCAACATTACACTCTTACTACACTGTTATTACACCCATATTACACTGCTATCAGACCCAAATTACACCCATGTAACACCAATATTACACAGTAATTACACTGTTATTAGAGCCATATTACACCCATGTAACACCAATATTTCATCCATATTACACAGTAATTACGCTGTTATTACACCAATTTTACACATGGAGTCAACCGGTGAAATAACCCTTACCCCCAGGATACAGAAACCTTTGAATGGTTACATTAGAGAGGGTGCAACAGGATCATTTATAGGTTTTTAATTCTCTTTTGATTAGTTAACAACAAGCTAGTCATCCCAGCAGCACGCAAGCTATACCTGTAATCAACAGTTGAATAGACTTAACAACCGGTCATACACAATGAGGAAACATATACACCTGTCAGAGCTATAATCCTCTCTGATATAAACACTATTGTCCCTTCATTACTTCAGTTCTGCGGAGAAGAAGAGCGTTACTTACAGAAACTTCCCCCATCGCCTCCTGTTAGCAGCAGCAGGTATTAGTGGCAGTCTGATTACTCTGAGCAGCGTCACACTCACAGCTCCAGAAACAGCCCATAACCCGGCCACAGATCCTCCAGGACCACAAATTGTACTCCCAAAATCAGCCTTTTTTTGTTCAGAAATTCTGTATGACCTTCAGCAAGCTCACAGCGACAAGCAGCGCTCCATCGGAGGAAAAACACAGGAGCCGGCTAAATGATTATCTGAGGAAAGCCTCGCTTAATCTAATTAGACAATCTGTGGCTTCAGTGAGCTCCAGAGAGACTGTGGCTGCAGCTCCTCCTGCTGAGCAGAACACACCACGTCTACACACACACACACACACACACACACACACACACACACACACACACACACACACACACACACACACACACAACACACACACACACACACACACACACACACATACACACACACACACACACACACACACACACACACACACACACACATACCATGTATACACCACTTCAGGGGACATTACATTGACTTACATGCATTTCCTGGAGACTTATCTTAACCATAACCAACACATGCCTAACCCTAACCCTTACCCTTAACCTTACCCTAACACTTGACCTTTACCCTTACCCTAACCAAGTCTTCACCCTAAAATTAATGATGATCATGGGGACCACACACACACACACACACACACACACACACACACACACACACACACACACACACACACACACACACACACATCAATCAATCAAAGTTTATGTAGCCCAATATCACACATTTTACTTTTGTCTCTCACATCGGACATGGACAAACTCCCAATGAAACCCCACAGCGAAAGGGGGGAAATGGAAGAAACCTCTGACAGTTGAGCAGCCTAACTGGGGGCTATAAGCTTTATAAAAAAGGAAAGTCTTAAGCCTACTCTTATGGGTGTCTGCCGCCCGAATACAAACTGGAAACCGGTCCCACAGAAGAGGGGCTTGATAGCAAAATGTTCTGGTTCCCATTGGAGTTTTAGAGACCCAATGGGACCTTATTTTGCAAAAGATCACATTTGTAATATAACTGCTGACGTGTAAGACTGTGAAAATACTTTTAAAATAAAGAAACACTCACGATTTGCGAGAGTTATATCATAACGTTCTGTCTTGGTGAAGCTATGGCTGGAATCTTTTTACTGTTTTCTGAGCGGTTTCATATAACATCAATGTTACTTAATACCACTCACTGTGAGTTTCTTCACTTAGAAAGTTACATTTTAAATTAATCAATATGTCATTTGCAATTCAAGGCACAAGTCAAACATCTTGTTGTTGACTAGTGTACATATTTTTTCTGAAATAATTTCCCACAGGGGAAACCGTATAGTTGCCTCTTTACAACTCGTCCAAACAGACTTGAGGATAAGACGTAATGACAGAGAGCACAACAAGGTGGGCAACAAGTGGAAAACCCTCAAGCAACTAGTTGGCATCCCTAGCAACCAACAAGACACAGCCTAGCAACCCTCTTAATGGAATATCGATCCTGTACACACACACACACACACACACACACACACACACACACACACACACACACACACACACACACACACACACACACACACACACGCACACACACACACACACACACACACACACACACACACACACACACGCACACACACACACACACACACAACTCTTGAACACTTCCCTTCCCCCACTCTGAGCAGCAGTGATGCTGTCTGATGTCAGGTGGCACACAAACACACACGTGACCGTCACACACACGCACACACAGGTGGATTACAGCACATAGAGACACAGGAGGATTAACTGAATACACACACACACACACACAGGTTGCTATCCCTGTTTCACTTTTGCACGGTAGTGTGATCACACCGAACTTTGACCCCTGCCTTAAAACTCTAAAGACGCACATGGAAAAAATGGAGACCTGACCCAAGGTTTTGGGACCCAAGCTGACCCAAAACCATGACTGAATTTCTGTTGTTTAATCAACAATAGCATGTGACAATTCAGGTCTGAAGGTAAACAAAACAGTTTCAGCTCAAATAGATATAATCATTTCATAAATCATTCTGGGTGAACTGGTTTAGTCAATACTGGGCAAGTTGGCCTGCTGGGATCAGCTTACTATTCCGTGTGTGTGTGTGTGTGGTGTGTGTATGTGTGTGTGTGTGTGTGTGTGTGTGTGTGTGTGTGTGTGTGTGTGTGTGTGTGTGTGTGTGTGTGTGTGTGTGTGTGTGTGTGTGTGTGTGTGTTGCCACCCAGTGGTCACTTATAGTCAACTCGCTGCACACACTGGCCACCTTCATCTATAAAAGACACACATGTTTTTATCCCAATGGTTAGAACAGATTTGAGGGGGGGGGGGGGGGGTCTGTTGTGAAAATAGAGATGAATCTTTCAGAAAGACTCTGACAGGAAGTGCTAGTAAACATCAAAGAGAGGGGCAGATATTCATAAATCCAAATTCATAAAAGCAAGTCCTTTAAGTTAATGAAAAACAAAAATGCTAATATGTTTAATTGTGTCACCATTCTGTCCTTTCTCTATTCTTTTCATTGAAGAATCTGAAAGCCATGTTGTTTGTAAAAAAACAAAAACAAACAGCAGTTCACTTCCGGGAGGCGCGGCCATGGCGACGTCACCTGCGTCATCTAAACCTGCAGAACAGCTGATCGTGACGTCACTCGTCAACATGGCGGACTGGAATAGAGGTATTGTTTTTGACACGTCCTCACTTCTAAATATTCAGTCTTTAACCTTCTACAGCAGGACGGGGTTCATGTTACAGATGAATGATGGGGTGTTTAACCTAAAGGAAAAGTCAGACCGGAAGTGTGTTTAGTGTCTCGATTTTTATTTCACTTTTACAGCCAAATACTGAAGCTAAGCTAACAGGCTAACTAACGTTATCAGCTGTTTGAGACTTCAAGCAGTGGTGGAGAGTAACTAAATACATTTACTCAAGTACTGTATTTAAGTACAATGTTGAGGTACTTGTACTTTACCAGAGTATGTACATGTTAGGCTACTTTGTACCAGAGGTGGGAGGAGTACTCAGATCTTGTACTTGAGTAAAAGTAGAAGTACTCAGATCTTGTACTTGAGTAAAAGTAGAAGTACTCAGATCTTGGACTTGAGTAAAAGTAGTGTAGGAATACTCGGTTACAGGTAAAAGTCCTGCATTCAAAATGTTACTCAAGTAAAAGTACACAAGTATTAGCACTTTGTCTGGTGGTATGTCAGGATTACTACGCAGATGTGGAAATAAATGTAAAATTATTTTGAGATCTTGAAGTTGTTTTGATCATAAAGTAAAATACTATATTGTTCAACTCCTGATACCGGGTACTACATGTTTTTGTAGATACACTTGGATCTGTACGTTGTAATGCAGGTGTAAGTGATAAACTTAGGCATAAAACAGTTGAAATTACACTTATTTTTCATAAGGATGTCTTGTTTATTCATAATGTTTATGTTGCACTAAAACAAAGGGATCAATTTGGAGTTGTTGTTATTTGTAGGTGATTACGCTGCTATGATTTTACTGGTCCGGCCCACTTGAGATCAAATGTGGTTGTATGTAACCACTGAAATCAAATGGAGAGTTTGACACCCCTGATGTAACATATCATATGGAGGCTGCAATGGGATAATCAGAGTCATTTTTAAAGCGGCTTATTCATTTTTCTTACAGTTTCACTTGATATCAAATGAAGATGTTCTCATACATTATGATTATGTCTTTCTAGCGTACATAGACACATTTCTTAATTATTCCCCCCCTTGTGTCTGCAGGTCATGACTCTGTGGACGACATGCTGGACACTGAAAACAAGCGCCTGACTGACAACCTCGCCAGCAAAGTGTCCAGACTGAAATCTGTGAGTCCCCACTAGTTCTTCTCGTTACAGTCAAGTTTCATCATTTCTGAGTCGTTTGTTGATGTGTTTTAAGTGACTGATGAGTCCCTGTATTCATAGAAAACAACATACATAGAATTTGACGTGAACATAGAAGACGTTCTCGTCTTAATTCAGAGGCAGATTTTTGTATTTCTGTTCCAGACCCTCCACTCTTTATAGTTCTTTTTTGAAATCTGCTTTCTTTATTTTATTAAATGTGTAATATTGAATAGCATAAGTGTCACATTCATCATTCAACAGTACAATTATTACTGCAGATACATTCACATAACATTATGCACATTAAGAAAAGAGACTGGCTCTCCCAAAGTTTTCTTTTTAGCTTTAACAATTGAACATGGGAACATTTCCACTTAGAATAGATATTAATAAGCTGGTGTATGAGTATAAATAATATATCCTTATATATTCACACTTATTTATTCTATAAAACCAGCTATCGTCTGTCCTAATAGTTTGAATGCACTTATTCAAGTACAATAAATTCGAAAAAAATATGTATTGTCGGACTTTGAGGGAAAATGAAAATGTTTCCATAATATAATTTCCATATCATATTTAAGTCCTTACATTTATAGTAAGTGGCTTTTGATTTTAGCAACTTTCTTATGACATATATTTTTCTTGAAGTCTGCTTGTTTGTCCGTTCCTCAGTCTGAAGTTTTACACTCACACCTTGCAAAGACAATATAGGTCAACACAAAACAATAGACAATATAAATACAAGTGCTTGAACTGTGTCTTCTGTCCTGTCTCTGAATCTGTCAGCTGGCGTATGACATCGACCGAGAGGCTGAAGATCAGAACGAGTATCTGGACGGCATGGTGAGTCCATCCTGTCTGTAAGACTAATACACATGTGGGCTTTGTTTGTCATGTCATGGAGCTAAAATGGAGTTCAAAATAATAGTAGGTTGAATCAAATATAGGACGACATTTACTCTTAAGTTAATCAGAATCGAGTTTATCGCCAGGTATCTTTACACATGCAAGGAATTAAATAGTATCCAGGACTGTACATACATAAATCCTGCACTGTTTGTAAGACTTTAACCTGCTCTCACATCTACACACTTATGTAAATATATTTAACATGTTCATTCAAATGCTCAACGTTTCACTGTGATATCTTGTTCAACAGTTACTTTATCACTTTATTTTTTGATTGTTTTTGTATTATTATTTACATTTTCTATTCTATTTTCTCTTTATTTTGACCTTATGTGAATCCTGTCTTTAACTCTGACCCTGTTGCTGCTATAAACGCCTGAATTTCCCCAAGGGGATAAATAAAGTTCCATCTTTTCTTATCTTAACTTTACTTTGGTGTATGGTGGTGCAAACATAAACAACATAAGAAATAAGTTGTAAGAGAAGCATCCCTAGCAACCCTAAGAGAAGCATCCCTAGCAACCCTAAGAGAAGCATCCCTAGCAACCCTAAGAGAAGCATCCCTAGCAACCCTAAGAGAAGCATCCCTAGCAAGTTGTAAGAGAAGCGTCCCTAGCAACCCTAAGAGAAGCATCCCTAGCAACCCTAAGAGAAGCATCCCTAGCAACCCTAAGAGAAGCATCCCTAGCAAGTTGTAAGAGAAGCGTCCCTAGCAACCCTAAGAGAAGCGTTAACCTTAATAAAAGTCCCTTCCCTCCATCTTGTCCTCCACCCTTTCAGGACTCGAACTTCCTGAGTGCGACGGGGCTGCTGAGCGGCAGCGTGAAGCGTTTCTCCACCATGGTCCGGTCCGGCAGAGACAACCGGCGCATCCTCTGCTACGTCTCCGGGGGCCTGGTGCTCGCCTTCTTCATCGTCTACTACATGATCTCCAGGATCCAGCGCTGACGGGGGGGGGGGGGAACCCCACCATCAGACAGGAGCTGAGACTGAAAACTCATATCTGAAAATACTTTTTTATTCTGCACCAAAGTGAGAAAAAGACAAACAGGAAGTGGACGTTTCTGTTGAATCGTTGGCGGGTGTCAAAATGCTCAGCAGGGGAAACGGGGGGTGGTACTGTCTGGTATGAAGATACTGGAGTCAATTAAAAGTAACATGATTGGACTAAAGGTGGCTTTTCAACTGTACCTGAAGTCCTTATATGGGCGCGGTCATGCCAAAGACACTAGAAACAATTAAAAAAAACATGATTGGACTAATTGGGGCTTTTCAACTTTACCTTTCTCCTTTCCTGCTGTACTCAGGAAGTCCTTATATGGGCAATGGAATGGTGGAGCCTGAATGCAGCTCTGTGATAGGCTGATGAACCTGTCAATCATGACCAACTTGCCTCGAAGAGTCTCACCTCCAGAATACAACAAATAATTGGACGCACGTTTTGGGTCGTAGCATTGTAGTGTGTTCAAACTGCACAAGTTCTAATATGTTTACAAAATTATACAAAAAAGTACAGAGAATTGAAGACTAAAAACTTAACAAAGCTGCAAAAGAAAATGTGATTTTGGTGGTGAGACATTAACAGAAAGGTTATGGGGGAACATATATTACATGTCTGGAAAACGGTATGCTTTTTTTTATGAAAGGTTAAATTATTCCAAGTTGTCGGCATGAATTTCTTGTCAATACAAAACAATGATTTTTAAAGATGTTTTCTATCAAACAGCAGAAAAACATTTCATGACAATTGATATTTAATTGAATAGAGACACAGCGTCTGGGGAGAACAGGAAGTGACACCGCCATCTTTGTTTTTTGCTGATCTTTAATTCACGAGGCGATGATGTCATGTCTTCAAGGACTGTCAATCAACTGTGATGTAAATAAATATGTAAACAAGAGTAGATAGCTCTCGTTATGTTATTGATTCTGCAGACTATAAGCAAACACTTACCACATGTTAAGAACTGCAAAAAAGATTCGACAACTATTTTCTTCTTGAACTCTTAAGGTACATTCATCCAAAAATGGCCAAAAAAAAGCAGATTTTAACCCCTAATTAGACGCTTTTCTCTGTTTTAAATCCAATTAAAGTGAATATCTTTTGGGTTTGAACTGGCCAAACACCTAAAAACAACAACTTGGACTCTTGGGAAAACTGTGATGGACAACTTATCCTGTTTTCAATTGTTCAATAATGTATATAATCATTAACATGTTCATACATACTGGTCTATTTTTTTTAAACAAACCTTTAAACATCAATGTTTTCTGTTGCAGTGTTAAGCTTTGTGTGTGTTGGCGGTACCGGTTTCCATATTTTCATTAATATTACATTTTGGGCGTCGTTCTGTTAAACGTTTATTGGATGTTTTGTCAAATTATACACATTTTGTCTAGAGGAGATTTAATGTGTTTTCATTCCAGCGGTCTGCACAGACGACATTATTAATACACCTGCAATAAATGTATTTGTTTTGTTACTTATTGGGTATGTTTGGACCTTTTTACCTGATGTATTTACGTTGTGTGCATATGTGAGAAAGTCTTAAATGAAGAAGGGTTTATTTCTATTTTTATAGTCATAGTTTGACTGTGAGATTATAAAGATTTTACTTTGATTACCTTGTCATGCTACTTCATACTACTATACATTTCAGAGGGAAATATTGCACATTACAGATTAAGGGGATTTTTCCACGTACAAAACACATGAAGAAGTTCTGCACCTAACAATATACATACAAGAACATACATATACATTACATACATTCAAAAACTGGGGGGTTGGCATGTAAAATCCCAAACATTTCATGGGTCCAGAAACTCAAATGTGAGGATTTCGTGGTTTTTCCTTGTAAATATTTTAATAAAAGTATATCATTCTATAATTTAGAGGTTGCCACTGTTTCAGAAAAAAAGCGTCATACTATACAGACATTTGGAGTAATGTGTAAATAGCTTTTACGTTTATTAATAAGTAATAACTGATGAAATGATATTATAATAAAATAACAAAAACAGGTTAAATATATATTAGTGTTGAAATCACAACGGGCATTCTCTGCACACATTTTCCTGATTTCAATGCAGGACTTATTTTACTTATTTACAGTTTGGGTCAAAAACATTATGGGCGTCACTTGGTGGGGACACTTTTTTCAGATTTAAAAAACCACTACTGCATTAAAGGACCCCCTCATACCCATACATATGCTTACCATATATATTTTGTGACTACTAGTGCAGTAACTATGCTATGCTGCATTTAGCAAATGATCCTAATGCAAAGTGGTTGGGACAAAATTAGCCATTTCCTAAAGTGGTGGGGACATGTCCCGAGCGTCCCCACTAATGGCGCGTTTCCACTACACGGCCTCGCTCGGCCCCGCTCGGTATGGCTGGGCCTCGTTAGGACTGGCTCACTTTATGGCGCATTTCCATTACAGTTTAGGAACTGGGGTAGTATCTATAGTAACGCAGTGTAGGCGGAACCGTGACGTGATCTTCAGAAATCCCCAGAAAAACAACACAGCCGTTAGCTGTTAGCACTCAGAGCTCACAGCTCCTCATATATGTTCAGAAACTAGACAAAACTTAAACAAGTACAAACCACAGACTGCCTGTGTCATGGTGAATACAGTCGCTGCTTTATTTATGTCTGTATAGGCCGTTGTTGTGAGTGTGGACGGTCGGAGCATATACTGCGTTAGCTTAGCCAATCTCCATTTAGAAAACACGCATTTTAAAAGGTTTTTCGCCTGCCGTCTGTCTGCAGACTTGACAAAGCATTAATTCATGGTTTTTACTAACCGGTATCAGTATGTTGTTACTTCGGCATCATTTTGAAACGTGTATTACAATTAAATCACGGTCAAATATGTCCATCTTGTTGTAGTTGTAGCCCCCTTGCCAGCGATGCTCTCTCTAGTTTAGCATACTCAGCCCGACTCAGCCTCGTTGTCTCTGGCCCTAGACCCGCGATTTTATGAGGCCAGAAAAGCTGTGAATTAGGACCCGCCGGCCGGTACTAGGCCAAGTGGAAACGCAACCAAAGACGGGCCGCTGACGTCACAGCCCTCTTAAACCGTGCTCCGCGCTGTAGTGGAAACGCGCCATATGTCTTAAATGAAGGACCTGAATACTTCTTCCACCACCGCCTTGGTTGCAAAATAACACATATTATAATAGGTATATATGAATTGGCAACCGGATGTCAGTTCACATTGTTTACACAGGGTAACAGATTTAATTTGAGCAAATAATTTACAATTTTTGCTATTAACTACTTATTTTCAGAAGTAAATGAGAAGTGTTTCACCATGTTGTATTCATATAAAAACACATATGTAAACTGGGGTTTCACATCAGCACATTAGATAGAACGATAACAAAAAATCTAATTAATAACAATAATGAAAACACTTCTTCCAATTTTCTGTTACCATTTTTAACCACTGTCAGACATTTGTAAATAGCTTGTTTAATGCAGAAGTTTTCTTTCCAACTTTATTGAACAATTCTTCCAAGACATCAGAAAAAGGCACATCATGTCAGTGTTCATTACATTAATTCAAAACTGAGGGCATTAATTAAGAACAGAGGACAGACAAAAAACACAAATGGTCACTCAGGAATTAAGGTGTTTAGACATTTGTAAAAGTGTTGTATTTTTAATTATGCAATATTTAATTGATCATTTCATTAAGAAAAGCAGTAAATACAGTGGGGAAAGTGTCTAAGTAACAATGTAATGAACATGTAATGAAACGTAATGTAACATGTAATGTAAATCTAACATGTAATCCTCAGAACTGTTACTGGATGTGTTTTTATTGCAAATTGTGTAACTTTTTTTATTATAATAATTTTAAAAGAAAAATGTGTACGCATGCTTCTTTGGTAACATTAAGCTGTCTTTGGCTCTTTTCTGCTGTAACAATGTAAATGTCCCCTCTGTGGGACTAATAAAGGTATTCTGATTCTGATTCTGATTCTGAATGTAATGTGCTCTTTGGCCGCTGGGTTGCTTCGTATTGACTCGTTTTTTCTCGGCCGTTTCCGGTGCATCTCTTTCCTGGAGGACTTGATACAAACAAACAGTGGATCGGTCGCCCTCTCTTTCGGATTAGCTCTCCCGATTCCTCCACGTTTCTCTCACCATTCCGGGTTATTTCCAGCCTCTGTCGGTGAACAGGCTCCGTGTTGTCGGTGGTTCTCCGGTTCGGCTGCACTCGGTCCAAACTCTTCTTACTGCTCGGTCTCATTCGGCTCTTGTCGTCTCGAGAGGAACAAATGGACGAAGCCGACTCGGCCACGAAGGCGCTCGGGTTGCACGAGGAGGTGGAGCACGAGGAGGTGGGCTCGGATACCGAATCGGAGGCCGAAGTCACCACGATTTCCGTGATGGAGGAACCGGGGAACATCGACATGGGAGCCGAGTCCCTGCCGAACTCAGACGAGGCCGAGGCGGCTTTTGGAGGCAAGTTTTAGGCCTCGAGTCTGCAGGATGGCCCACACACAGAAAATGGAAGTTAGCTCCACTCAGGGTTTCTGCTAATGTCTCTGCTACACTGGGGAATGCCACCACCTCTTATTTATAGAAGGGAATCAGTATAAATCCTTACATTAATTACACAATTCTCCAATAGGCTATATATTTAGCTTCACTCGGGGTTTCTACTAATGCCTCTGCTACACCTCTTATTCATAGAAGGGAATCAGTAGATCCTTACGTTAATTTCAGGTTTCAAGGCTTTTATGGTCATGTGTACAGAGCTACAGGGTAGTTATGACAATGACAATCTGAGGTCACAGGCTCCTCAAAACAGTGCAACACAATAAAACAGATAAAATAGTGCAAGTAAATAAAATGAAATAGAATATAATAGAAATTGTGCAGAATAGTCTATATACAAGTAATTGGAATATTGATATAAGTTGCAGATGAATGTTAATTGCACAATTCTCCTATATATATATATATATATATATATATATATATATTTAGCTTCACTCAGGGTTTCTACTAATGCACAGAGGTGTAAAGTAACTAAGTACATTTACTCAAGTACTGTATTTAAGTACAATTTTGAGTGTTTCCATTTTGTGCTACTTCGTACTTCTACTCCACTACAATTCAGAGGTAAATGGTGTACTTTGACTCCACTTCATTTATTTAATACCTTTAGTTACTTTACAGATCTGGATGAATGATGTGAAATATAATCAAGTGTTAAATCAGACTTTAGTTCCACCTGGAGTAAATTCACAAGCTACCCTGCAGTATACAAAGTCATTCAAACTAGCTGCACCTTTACCAGCTTTGAGAACACTTTCATGATCAATCATTATAAAACATATCATATATATTATTCTGAAATGGACCAATCTGCACAATGACTACTTCTACTGTCGCTACTTTAACTATATTTTGATGATAATACTTTTCTACTTTTACTTGAGGAACATTTTGAATGCAGGACTTTTACTGAAACAGAGTATTCCTACACTCTGGTACTTCTACTTTTACTCAAGTACAATATCTGCGTACTTCTACTTTTACTCAAGTACAATATCTGCGTACTTCTACTTTTACTCAAGTACAATATCTGAGTACTTCTACTTTTACTCAAGTACAATATCTGCGTACTTCTACTTTTATTCAAGTACAAGATCGGAGTACTTCCTCCACCTCTGCAAATGCATCTGCTACCTGGTGAATTAATTGCACAACTCTATATATTATATGATGATCATTTTGGAGATATTTTAAATGTTACATATATATTTCTGTGTGTTGCACTGATTATACTTCAGTTTGGCTGTGATTTTATAATTGTATATATTCTAACATAACAAGAGTACTGAAGTAGCTATAATAAAGTAGAAGTAGTTGCACTATTTTTATTGTTTTTTATGTAGTTTTCTTGTTTAATGTCTTTTACTGTATATATATTTCTGTTGCATTGTTGGAGGAGCCTGGGACTTAATATTGTCATTGCCATAAATACACTGTAGCTGCTGTGCGTATGAAGATAAAGCCTTTTATATCTTTGAGTCTTTGAATGTTGATCTGGAGATGTGTTTGATGATAACACATCTGAATGTCTTGTTGATCAGAGGTGACGGCTGTGACGGTGGGAGACGTTCACTGTGCGGACGACAACGTTTACACAACCACGGTCGCCACGTCAGGAAGTCTGCCTGAACACGTGCTGGTAAATACACACACACACACACACACACACACACACACACACACACACACACACACACACACGCTGCTGCTCAGTGTGACTATGTGCTTGCAGATCATTATTTATAATCACGTGTAATGATCTTCATGATGTCCAGGTGAGCAATCAGACATCTGTTACGCTGAGCTTTCTACCAGGTTTATTCCTGTCACAAGTCAAAGTCAACTTTATTGTAAATGTATCTGTGTGTGTGTTAACAAACAGGGACACTCAAATGCCGTTTTATTTTACCGAAATTGTAGAGTGTCCCACGGCACACCTGCCGATCTGTCACGGCACACTGGTTGAAAATCACTACCATAGTAAACCTGTTGACTTAGAGAAGTGTCAACCTTTTTAATTGGAGTTCAATTCCAGCTCTTCATAAAAGTGGTGGAGAGTGCATACTCTTAATGTCGCTCCTAAATCTCCCAAAGGTGTTCAACCTCTGAAGGACCCTTAAAAAAACATCATCACCAATCATTTCTGAGCTTCCTCTTAACTGTTCTCTATCTAATATATGGACTGTGTGTGTGTGTGTGTGTGTGTGTGTGTGTGTGTGTGTGTGTGTGTGTGTGTGTGTGTGTGTGTGTGTGTGTGTGTGTGTGTGTGTGTGTGTGTGTGTGTGTGTGTGTGTGTGTGTGTGTGTGTGTGTGTGTGTGTGTGTGTGTGTGTGTGTGTGTGTGTGTGTGTGTGTGTGTGTGTGTGTGTGTGTGTGTGTGTGTGTGTGTGTGTGTGTGTGTGTGTCACAGAGCAGAGGAACCACCCTGCAGCTGGGTGATGGTCTCAGTACCCAGAAGGCCACGCTGATCGTGGTTCACACCAACGGCAGCATCGTCCAGGCAACCGGCCTCAAATCTGCTGCTGCTATGGTAACAGGTGAGTTACAGTACTGACCAGAGGAGGAAAAAGTACTCAAAAAATAGAAGTACTCAGATCTTGTACTTGAGTAAAAGTAGAAGTACTCAGATCTTGTACTTGAGTAAAAGTAGAAATACTCAGATGTACTTGAGTAAAAGTAGAAGTACTCAGATGTACTTGAGTAAAAGTAGAAGTACTCAGATCTTGTACTTGAGTAAAAGTAGAAGTACCAGAGTGTAGGAATACTCAGTAAAAGTCCTGCATTCAAAATGTTCCTCAAGTAAAAATAGAAAAGCACTATCATCAAAATATAGTTAAAGTAGCGACAGTGAAAGTAGTCATTGTGCAGATTGGTCCATTTCAGAATAATATATATGATATGTTTTATAATGATTGATCCTTAAAGTGTTCTCAAAGCTGGTAAAGGTGCAGCTAGTTTGAATGACTTTGTATACTGCAGGGTAGCTTGTGAATTTACTCCAGGTGGAACTAAAGTCTGATTTAACACTTGATTATATTTCACATCATTCATCCACATCTGGAAAGTAACTAAAGGTATTAAATACATGTAGTGGAGGAAAAGTACAAAGCATCAAAAAATTGAAATACTCAAGTAAAGTACAAGTACCTCAAAATTGAACAGTACTTGAGTAAATCTACGAAGTGACTAGCACTGACAATATTCCACTGGTTCTGAGGTGTCCATGTTAAAGCAGTTTATAAAACACCAGGACCCTGAGTGGTAGAAGTGTCCATAGGCGTCCTTTATACTGGGGACTTTTAGGATAATTAGTTTAAAATGTTCTGAAAGTAGCGTGCACAAAGAATCTACACTGTTTGCTCAAGAGAACATGAACCATCTCCAGGACTGTCCACACTTTTTTGGGTGTATTTCTGGTGACCCAAGTGGTGCAATTTTGACCTGCGACAAGTTTAATATTAGTAATAATTGAAGAGAGGATAGTTGCTCCCGGTTTTGCAGCAGCGTAGCATAGGTGCTACATTTGTTGTCAACATATTTTATGGTAAGCTTTCTGTATGTATATGTATTATTTGTGGGGTTTTTTATCTTGAAAAAGTGTCCCCACCACTCTTTTTAACAAAGTGATGTCCCTCTCTCAGACTGATCTGTGTGTGTGTTTCGCCCCCCTGTGTTTCCCTCAGGCTCTCAGACTCATCCCACTCCTTTGATGCCCCCCCAGGACAAAGACTCCTGCTCCAAGTACAACTGGGACCCTTCGGTTTACAACAGCGAGCTGCCGGTGCGCTGCAGGAACTCCAGCGGGGTCCTGTACAAGAACCGGCTGGGATCAGGTGAGTCCGGCTGAAGATAAAGAGGCCCTATTATGCTTTTTTGTGGTTTTCCCTCTCCTGTATGTTTGTTATTTTGGTTTGTGTGCATGTAAATGGTCTGCAAAAGTTAACATCGCAAAGTTCTCTTCAATCTTTGAGCAGATTTTCAATTGGTGGAGCAGTTTTGACTTTAAAGTGGGGGACAAGCACGTGTACCATGTAGGATTGCAATCCTGCAACATGTGTAATTAGATGTTGAAATCAAAATAAGAATGTCTAGACGTAGGAGAAATTTAATTATTAGTTTTCTCTCTTTGCAGATAAACTTAAAGAGGCCCTTTCATTAGAAACCATTCATGACATTTTCAACATTTTTTAGACATGACAAATAATCGACTCATCTAGAAAATAAACATGCGATGAAAATAATTTATTATCTGATATTTGCAGCCGTACTGAATCCCTCACTTCACTACTCTGTTACTGTGCTTTAACCCACACTGACGGTGTTGTGTGTTGTTGATTTGTTGTGTGTGTTGTGTTGTTGTGTTGTTGTGTTCAGGGGGGAAGGGCCGCTGCATCAGACACAACCAGCAGTGGTTCACTCCCACAGAGTTTGAAGGTCTGGCGGGGCGAGCGAGCAGCAAAGACTGGAAGAGAAGCATCCGATACGCCGGCAGGCCGCTGCTCTGCCTCATACAGGTACTACTGTCACAATACTGCATTCATAACATACTGTACTACTACCACACTACATCATTAATACTCTGTACTACTATCACACTACATCATTAATACTCTGTACTACTACCACACTACATCATTAATACTCTGTACTACTATCACACTACATCATTAATACTCTGTGCTACTACCACACTACATCATTAATACTCTGTACTACTATCACACTACATCATTAATACTCTGTGCTACTACCACACTACATCATTAATACTCTGTGCTACTATCACACTACATCATTAATACTCTGTGCTACTACCACACTACATCATTAATACTCTGTGCTACTATCACACTACATCATTAATACTCTGTGCTACTACCACACTACATCATTAATACTCTGTGCTACTATCACACTACATCATTAATACTCTGTACTACTACCACACTACATCATTAATACTCTGTACTACTATCACACTACATCATTAATACTCTGTGCTACTACCACACTACATCATTAATACTCTGTACTACTATCACACTACATCATTAATACTCTGTGCTACTACCACACTACATCATTAATACTCTGTGCTACTATCACACTACATCATTAATACTCTGTACTACTACCACACTACATCATTAATACTCTGTACTACTATCACACTACATCATTAATACTCTGTACTACTACCACACTACATCATTAATACTCTGTGCTACTGCAGTGATAATATACTATACTACTGAGCACATACTGCAGTAACAATACTCTGATCATTAATACACTGTACTACTGAGCACATACTGCAGTATTAATACACTACTACTGAAACTCACTGGGAGTGAACCACTGCAGTATTAATACACTGTAGTACTGCCACCATACTGCAGTATTTATATACTGTAATACTACACTCGTAACTTAGTATTAATACAATGTACTGCTGCACTCGTACTGAAGTAATTATTCACTATTTTTATTTTTGTGTGTGTGACTGTGTGTGTGTCTGACTGTGTGTGTGACTGTGACTGTGTGTGTGACTGTGTGTGTGACTGTGTGTGTGTCTGTGTGTGTGTGTGTGTGTGTGTGTGTGTGTGTGTGTGACTGTGTGTGTGTGTGTGTCTGACTGTGTGTGTGACTGTGTGTCTGACTGTGTGTGTGACTGTGTGTGTGTGTGTGTGTGTGTGTCTGTGTGTGTCTGACTGTGTGTGTGACTGTGTGTGTGTGTCTGTGTGTGTGTGTGTGTATGCGTGCGACTGTGTGTGTGTGTGTGTGTGTGTGTGTGTGTGTGTGTGTGTGTGTGTGTGTGTGTGTGTGTGTGTGTGCGATTGTGTGTGTGTGTGTGTGTGTGTGTGCGATTGTGTGTGTGTGTGTGTGTGTGTGTGTGTTTAGGAGCGTATCCTGAACCCTCACGCTGCCTCCTGTACGTGTGCAGCCTGCTGTGATGACCTCACGGGGGTGAGTAACGTTTCTCAGGATTGTTCTTTTGCGCTTGGTACTTTAAGATGATATTGTGATGCCAGTGTTTCCGTAAGTAGCCTTTAGAATATTGATCTTTAGTATATGATGTTAAAACAAATTGTACTCCTGTACTCCTGACCGGAGCCCTTCCTCCACCTGTGGTTCATCATTTGTCATTGTGTAACTGGGTTTTAAAGTAACTGCAGATACACTTTGTGATAAGAGGCTTTGTTTTGCTTCCTGCACTCAGAATATTACAGGAGCGCTCTGATGAGAACAATAATTAGATTTGTCTTCCTTCCCAGAAACACAGGACAAAACCACAGCTCATTACATCCATTTCTGTTTCTGTCCTCTGCTGCGGGGACAAAGCAAAACACCTGTCCAAAATATGACATTATTAAAATAAACGTAACTGTAACGATTTGTACAAAGTCCTGGAAGTTTGAAAAATGCCTAAATTAAACGGTTATGATTTCAAGGTGAGAGATATGTGTTACATGAAAACAAACACTCATTAAAACCAGAAGTCTTTCCATATTTAAAATATTGACATAAGGGTTAGGGTTAGAAGACACTAGCTAGATATTAAACGCATTAAAGTATTTTAGGAATTTTTATTTTAAGTACTTTAAATATGCTTACAAAATCCGTTTTTATTTGCAATAGAAATCGGTTTATTGCCAGGTAGGTACATACATACAAATAAAACACTGATAAAAGACAAATAATAGTCTACATTGAACATGGATGAAGAATAGCGTATACCTGTCAAAATACAAATATATTAAGATCAAATATGTTAAATAGAGTTTTACTCCATTGTCTGAACTAAATAAGTTTGTTTGGTCGTACTTTAAAAACAGGTTTAAGGATTGCTGTCCTTTCTGATATCTGATAAACTACAATTAATGAATAATTGTTGATTTAAATAAATAACCAGTCAGACAGTAAAACTCGCTCTGTGCTTTTTTCTGCTTCTCTGCTCCTCTCTTCAGTGTGCAAAGGATGAAGAACCTCTGGTAGCAGAAAACATCAGCATGGTAAGCATTCTTATTCTGTCATCTACGACATGTCTCTTCATGTTTCTCATACTGTGCTGCAGCACCTCTTTTCACCCTCTGTCTGAAACCAGAGCCCGGTCTGCTCTGATTGGTTAGCTGGCCGGCTCTGTTGTGATTGGTCAACCGCTTAGAGATGTCCCTACTCTTAGCCTATCACATTACATCACATGTCACTTGTTAGACGCTTTTTATCCAAAGCGACTTACATACTCAGTACTGTGGACAATCCCCACAGGAGCAATTTGGGGTGATGTGTCTCAGGGACACAACGACATGCTGACTGCAGTGGGGTTTGAACCTGTGACCCCCTGATCCCAGCACCTACGCATAACCCACTGCGCCACACACCTCCTGAATTAAGGTGTTTCAGGCAGGTGGAGGGAACACAGGGATTTTAGCCTCTGCAGACCATTTACATGCACTAAAACCGATAGAACACACTACAGGAAAGAGACAACCAAAAAGACAGTAATATGACCTCTTAGAAGCGTCTCCACTTTTTTTGTCGTTTTGATTTAATTTCATGTTTTCTTCAGACGGGTCCGGTCCGCCTCTTCGTCCCGTACAAGAGACGGAAGAAGGACAGCGAATCTCTGGTCGTTTCCCCGAAGAAGGATCTTTCTTCCGCCAAAAACATCACGCTGTCCCCGGGGACAACATGTACGTCACTCTGATGTGAGATTAGTGGGGCCGCAGAGGAAGAGAAAAGATAGTCTGTGGTTTTATCAGCAGTTTAAAGTATGGAAATCAGCCTTTGGAGAACAAATATTATGTATATTCATTTATTATTATTTGATAGCTTAAAAATGACCCTAAAGTTATAGTCGCAACATCCTGTAAAGTTTTTATTTGTATTTATTTGTATTGAAGACACATAGAAAAGACATTTGGTACATTGATAGGAACCACAGTTAGAAATGTTCAACAGTTCAAAGCTACTAGTGTTCAGCTTAGTCTCTACTATTGTTCATCAATTGACCAGCCATACATAGTTGATCTTCTCTTGAAGGAACGTACAATATTTACATCCCAATTATAACCAAAACAGGACAAAACAAAAATAAATAATAATAAAACAGTACAAAGATAAAAACTAAATATGTAATAAAGAGGGAAAGGGGGGGGGGAGTGTCAATTAATCAGTAGACACAAATGAGAGAGATTTGAAGAAGGTTAAGAAGGGTTTCCACTTATTGTAAAACCTAGAGCTTTCGCCTCTTAAATAATATTTGTTCGCCTCTTAAAGAATATTTAACATCCTGTAAAGTTCCCCGGAGGAGTTCATAAAGTATGTCTTCTTCTTCTTCTCCTTCAGTCACGGTGTCTCCGTCGGGACAGTTCACGACCTCGGGCACGTTGACCTTTGACCGCCCGGCTCAGAGTGACGCTGTCACGGCCGCCGCTGCTGCTGCCATCATGTCGGAGAGCTCGGCCCAGAGCGAGGTGTTCGCCAGCACCGCAGGTACCTCATCTCTGATACCATCACACTGTATATGTCTGCACCATACACACCAAGGCTAATTCCTCGTGTGCGTTAACCTTCTTGGGAATAAACCTGTTTCTGATTCTGAGTTGTCTAACTAAGGGACTCTCCTTTGATTACAAAATGTAGGAAAAACACCAAATTATTTCTGAAAACTCTCCTTTGTTTTCCGTCTTCTCCTTAGCGTATTGACATCTTTTAGATTGTTGCTTGTATTGCTTTTAAATTGTCTATTGTTTTTACTTGTTTTATGGTGTGTGAGCTAACCCTAACCCTTTTTTTTTAAAACACCAAAATATGTCTCAAAACGTTCCTTTTTTTTTCTTCTTCTCCTTCCCTCAGTGCTCACGGCGCTACCTGCCCTCGCCGTGGCCCCCCAGTCGCTGCAGGCCAAGATGGCGGTGACGGTGGGGTCACCGTCGGGGGGGGGGCTGCTGATGGGGGGCCTGGAGGGGGGCGGGGCCAGCGAGGGGGGGCGGAGCAGCAGCTGGCTGTACCTGGAGGACATGGCCAACACTCTGCAGAGCAACGTGCAGCAGCTGAAGGCTCTGATAGAACAGGCCAAACACTCAGAGTGCATGGGGGTCAAAGGTCAGGGCGGCAGGAAGGAGGTGAGCGCAGAGACACACACACACACACACACACACGCACGCACGCACACACACACAGAGAATTGTAAACGTGCTGTGTATCAGAATCAGAAACAGGTTTATTACCAGGTAGGTTGACTTTCAGATTCAGATTCCTTTATTGTCACCACACAGTTTTAATATATAATATATAAAGTGACTATAAATTGGACCCATGATACATTGAACAGTATTCACTTACAAAACAATACAACATTACCATACAAATACAAGAACAATACGGTCAAGAGAGTAACAAATGTACGAGGAATTTGACTTGACGTCGTGGTGCATACATGAAAGTAAAACAAAAATTAAAAAATACAGATGGAGAACTATTTTAATATTAGCACAGTAGTACTGTGTGTATATTGTGTATTAATAGAGTATTATTTGTGCAGTAGTACAATGTATTAGTACTGTGATTATTTACCTGTCTCTCATCCAATAGTTGCAGGTGTAGAGATAAAGTTATTGTGACATTGCCAATATATTTCCAGATAACTTGAGTAATAATTAACTGTGTGTGTGTGTGTGTGTGTGTGTGTGTGTGTGTGTGTGTGTGTGTGTGTGTGTTCAGTTTGGTCTCACTCAGACGTTTCAGAATCAGATCACGTTTCAGCAGCAGGACGACTCGGATGCCAAGAGGAGCTCTGACATCACCGAGATCATCATCAACGTAGGACACACACGCACACACACACACACACACACACACACACACACACACACACACACACACACAGCAAGCATTAAAGCAGTACTGCTGACATTATTACATCCCAAATGTGGTTACTTAAGCACATCAGGCCTTACATAAAGGAACTGTTAAAGGCAAAATATGTAAGCATTAAAATGTCTACAAATAAATAGACCTGTGTTATTTATTGTGTGGAGTCGTGTAGTTATTATCCCAAAAGTTGCAAACACCTTAGATATTTACAAAATGCAAAAGGAGCATATTAGGGTGCCTCCTTTTAGTCTCATTATAACCTGGTATAGTGACGCGCCTCTGCCTCCTGTGGCTGAAATGAGTATTACAACAACACACTCTTGGATCCTGAATATACAATGAAAAAAAAAAAGGATATTAAGATAAGGTAAGATGTAAGACGGGCACCTTAACGTGTGTGTGTGTGTGTGTGTGTGTGTGTGTGTGTGTGTGTGGTGTGTGTGTGTGTGTGTGTGTGTGGTGTGTGTGTGTGTGTGTGTGTGTGTGTGTGTGTGTGTGTGTGTGTGTGTGTGTGTGTGTGTGTGGTGTGTGTGTGTGTGTGTGTGTGTGTGGTGTGTGTGTGTGTGTGTGTGTGTGTGTGTGTGTGTGTGTGTGTGTGTGTGTGTGTGTGTGTGTGTGTGTGTGTGTGTGTGTGTGTGTGTGTGTGTTCCCCTGCAGCAGATGTGTGTGAACTGCGGGCGCATGGCGATGAGTGAGTGCACGGGCTGCCATAAGGTCAACTACTGCTCCACCTTCTGCCAGAGGAAGGTGAGGTCAATCCTTCACATTAAGCCTCGTTAAAGATCTCTTATTTAGGACTGTCCGGGACGCGTCTATCACCGTTTACAAACATGTTTACACTTGACTTTTTCATCACGTTTTCATCCCACAAAATATGAACATGTACATGATCCAGTACATGTTCATTTCTTAACTCACCATATATTGACTACACTATGCAGCCCAACAGCTGTTTTTGTGGTTTGTCACGTGTGCAGAAGTACAGTATTTGGGTACATGAAATTATTCCTAAACAACACTGTTAGAGGAAAGCAGATATTCAGTTTGCCGCAGACCGCTGTGTCGTTTCTCACATTGTTTTGCACTGACTGCAATGGGAGTTACTATACAGCAGCAACCAAAGATTCAAAGGTTTTATTGTCATATCCAAAAAGCTACAGTGTAGTGAACATCTTCTGACCTGAGCTCCTCCAACAATGCAACATAAAATACAAAGATACAAAATTGTGCACAAAGTCTATATACATGTAAATAGAATATTATATGTACAAGAACACAATATGAAATTAAATAATGTACATTAAAACACAATGTAATACGGTAAGGAAGTGGGGAGGGGTAGTTAAATCATTCTTTGTGGTCTGATAAACAGCCCATATTGGTTTTTTCTCAAGCTAGAGTAGACGTGAAATCACTTCAGCGTTGTTAACATGTTCTCTTTATACGTCCATCGTGCAAAACTATGCTATTGCAGAAGTGGCCGTGGTTGAATCTAAACTTGGTTGGAAACACGATAGACACTTCCAGAACAAAAGAAGCAGCCGAAACGCAGAGGAAATCAAGAGCTAGATTACAAAAACCACTGATGCCCAGTTTGTAAACGTACTGCGGGACTAATGAAGGATTCTGATTCTGATTTAATTTGAAAGTTACGAGTAAAAATGTCGCTTTCTGATAGCGTATTATTATTATTATTTATTTATAAATAAAACCTGATTTGATTTGATTTGATAGACCTCTCATGACTTTAGACCATATGTAAAAAAAAAAATGTTTTTAGATTTGACCAAAAGCAAACTGTTTTTTGGAGTTCTGTGTTTAAAGTCATAATTCGGAGAACAATTCTGACTCTCATAATTCATAGGAAAAAAAATCTGAGATGAGTCTGAAAAAGAAAGACAGAATTTTGAGTTATTTAAAGGTGGGGTAGGTAATTTTGGAGAAACCAGCTACTCGTGCTAGAATTTGAAAATACACAGCCGGAGAAAATCTGCCACTTCCTTACAGAGCCCCTCCTCCAACACACACGAACGTGCACATGACCAATGAGGGCACGAGATAAGTTTGTGCACAGATGGAAGGCTGACAGGCAGGTAGGCCATCCAGTTATTTTAGCCGGGCCGGCTGATTGGTCGTGCTTTTTACAGTATTACAGCTTCCACAGATGATCTTTTTTTATGGATTTGTTGTCAAAGCACTTCAGATATTCATTGCTATCGGATGTTAAGAGCATTCCATGGAATATAACAAAAAGTGGATCTCGAGCCGGTTTCTCAAACTTACCTACCCCACCTTTAAACAAACAAAATTGACTTCTGAGAATTCTGAGAAAAAGTCTGAATTCCGTCTTGAATCTGAAGCTTCTTCTCATTTATTGTTTTTTTCATTTTTTTTTCTCCTGCAGGACTGGAAGGAGCACCAGCACACCTGCTGTCAATCATCTGGGGGCGTGTCTGTTCAGGAAGAGGAGCCAATCACAGCCCTGGAACTGGACAAAGTCAAATGAAGGAAGCCCTCAGACAGGAAGTCCTTATATGGCGCCGAGAGGAGGAGAAATCAAAACTTAAAATCTCCTCACTTGAACTTTTATTGTGAAAGATTCCTCTCGTCAGGAAGAGGAACGTCTGGGATGTCCCGATTTATAACTAAAGACATTATAAATTGTATATTTGTTGATAGAAGTTCCAGAAAATATGCCATAGGGCTGCAGATAACCACTTTTTGTCATTATCAATCAATCTGTAATTCACTTTATTTATACGTTTTTTAATTAATGGTGTTTTTTATTTCTCATCTTCCCTCAGTGAATCTTTTTTTCTGCTGTTTTATGAAACAGACTTTCCCGACCTTTAACGCTAAACTAATTTAGAATCTCTGTCCAGACACAGTCCTGGTTTGAATAAAGGTCAACACATCGATAAACTAAAAGGAAATATTATTAAATTAACGCGCCCCACCCTGGCTGATAGGAAGACATGAGCTATCGGTTCTCTTTTGTTAATGGTATTTTTCTTATTTTCCAATTAGAGTGACTTTGAATTGTTTACAAGGTTTCTTTGTTTGTTTGCTTCCAACTAAAAGACCCAGTTTATGTAATGTGAACGTTTCAGTTTCTGCAGAGAACATCTTTGCATAAGATAATATCTTGTATATGTACATGATTAAAAAAAAGGATTATCTTTAAGAGATATGAAGCTGTAGTGTTTCTTTTTTTGATTCAATTACGATGTAGTGTCTCTACTTTAAAGAGTCCTCTCCTGCTGATGTTCAGGTGTATATCAGTATGTAGTATCTCTACTTTAAAGAGTCCTCTCCTGCTAATGATCAGGTGTATATCAGTATGTAGTGTCTCTACTTTAAAGAGTCCTCTCCTGCTGATGTTCAGGTGTATATCAGTATGTAGTGTCTCTACTTTAAAGAGTCCTCTCCTGCTGATGTTCAGGTGTATATCAGTATGTAGTGTCTCTACTTTAAAGAGTCCTCTCCTGCTGATGTTCAGGTGTATATCAGCATGTAGTGTCTCTACTTTAAAGAGTCCTCTCCTGCTGATGTTCAGGTGTATATCAGTATGTAGTGTCTCTACTTTAAAGAGTCCTCTCCTGCTGATGTTCAGGTGTATATCAGTATGTAGTGTCTCTACTTTAAAGAGTCCTCTCCTGCTGATGTTCAGGTGTATATCAGTATGTAGTGTCTCTACTTTAAAGAGTCCTCTCCTGCTGATGTTCAGGTGTATATCAGTATGTAGTGTCTCTACTTTAAAGAGTCCTCTCCTGCTGATGTTCAGGTGTATATCAGTATGTAGTGTCTCTACTTTAAAGAGTCCTCTCCTGCTGATGTTCAGGTGTATATCAGTATGTAGTGTCAATACTTTAAAGAGTCCTCTCCTGCTGATGTTCAGGTGTATATCAGTGTGTAGTGTCTCTACTTTAAAGAGTCCTCTCCTGCTAATGATCAGGTGTATGTCAGTATGTAGTGTCTCTACTTTAAAGAGTCCTCTCCTGCTGATGTTCAGGTGTATATCAGTATGTAGTGTCTCTACTTTAAAGAGTCCTCTCCTGCTGATGTTCAGGTGTATATCAGTATGTAGTGTCTATACTTTAAAGAGTCCTCTCCTGCTGATGTTCAGGTGTATATCAGTATCTAGTGTCTATACTTTAAAGAGTCCTCTCCTGCTGATGTTCAGGTGTATATCAGTATCTAGTGTCTCTACTTTAAAGAGTCCTCTCCTGCTGATGTTCAGGTGTATATCAGTATGTAGTGTCTCTACTTTAAAGAGTCCTCTCCTGCTGATGTTCAGGTGTATATCAGTATGTAGTGTCTCTACTTTAAAGAGTCCTCTCCTGCTGATGTTCAGGTGTATATCAGTATGTAGTGTCTCTACTTTAAAGAGTCCTCTCCTGCTGATGTTCAGGTGTATATCAGTGTGTAGTGTCTCTACTTTAAAGAGTCCTTTCCTGCTAATGATCAGGTGTATGTCAGTATGTAGTGTCTCTACTTTAAAGAGTCCTCTCCTGCTGATGTTCAGGTGTATATCAGTATGTAGTGTCTCTACTTTAAAGAGTCCTCTCCTGCTGATGTTCAGGTGTATATCAGTATGTAGTGTCTATACTTTAAAGAGTCCTCTCCTGCTAATGATCAGGTGTATATCAGTATGTAGTGTCTCTACTTTAAAGAGTCCTCTCCTGCTGATGTTCAGGTGTATATCAGTATGTAGTGTCTCTACTTTAAAGAGTCCTCTCCTGCTGATGTTCAGGTGTATATCAGTATGTAGTGTCTCTACTTTAAAGAGTCCTCTCCTGCTGATGTTCAGGTGTATATCAGTATATAGTGTCTCTACTTTAAAGAGTCCTCTCCTGCTGATGTTCAGGTGTATATCAGTATGTAGTGTCTCTACTTTAAAGAGTCCTCTCCTGCTGATGTTCAGGTGTATATCAGTATGTAGTGTCTCTACTTTAAAGAGTCCTCTCCTGCTGATGTTCAGGTGTATATCAGTATGTAGTGTCTCTACTTTAAAGAGTCCTCTCCTGCTGATGTTCAGGTGTATATCAGTATGTAGTGTCTCTATTTAAAGAGTCCTTTCCTGCTAATGATCAGGTGTATGTCAGTATGTAGTGTTTCTACTTTAAAGAGTCCTCTCCTGCTGATGTTCAGGTGTATATCAGTATGTAGTGTCTCTACTTTAAAGAGTCCTCTCCTGCTGATGTTCAGGTGTATATCAGTATGTAGTGTCTATACTTTAAAGAGTCCTCTCCTGCTGATGTTCAGGTGTATATCAGTATCTAGTGTCTCTACTTTAAAGAGTCCTCTCCTGCTGATGTTCAGGTGTATATCAGTATCTAGTGTCTATACTTTAAAGAGTCCTCTCCTGCTGATGTTCAGGTGTATATCAGTATCTAGTGTCTCTACTTTAAAGAGTCCTCTCCTGCTGATGTTCAGGTGTATATCAGTATGTAGTGTCTCTACTTTAAAGAGTCCTCTCCTGCTGATGTTCAGGTGTATATCAGTATGTAGTGTCTCTACTTTAAAGAGTCCTCTCCTGCTGATGTTCAGGTGTATATCAGTATGTAGTGTCTCTACTTTAAATAGTCCTCTCCTGCTAATGATCAGGTGTATATCAGTATGTAGTGTCTCTACTTTAAAGAGTCCTCTCCTGCTGATGTTCAGGTGTATATCAGTATGTAGTGTCTCTACTTTAAAGAGTCCTCTCCTGCTGATGTTCAGGTGTATATCAGTATGTAGTGTCTATACTTTAAAGAGTCCTCTCCTGCTAATGATCAGGTGTATATCAGTATGTAGTGTCTCTACTTTAAAGAGTCCTCTCCTGCTAATGTTCAGGTGTATATCAGTATGTAGTGTCTCTACTTTAAAGAGTCCTCTCCTGCTTATGTTCAGGTGTATATCAGTATGTAGTGTCTCTACTTTAAAGAGTCCTCTCCTGCTGATGTTCAGGTGTATATCAGTATGTAGTGTCTCTACTTTAAAGAGTCCTCTCCTGCTGATGTTCAGGTGTATATCAGTATGTAGTGTCTCTACTTTAAAGAGTCCTCTCCTGCTGATGTTCAGGTGTATATCAGTATATAGTGTCTCTACTTTAAAGAGTCCTCTCCTGCTGATGTTCAGGTGTATATCAGTATGTAGTGTCTCTACTTTAAAGAGTCCTCTCCTGCTGATGTTCAGGTGTATATCAGTATGTAGTGTCTCTACTTTAAAGAGTCCTCTCCTGCTGATGTTCAGGTGTATATCAGTATGTAGTGTCTCTACTTTAAAGAGTCCTCTCCTGCTGATGTTCAGGTGTATATCAGTATATAGTGTCTCTACTTTAAAGAGTCCTCTCCTGCTGATGTTCAGGTGTATATCAGTATGTAGTGTCTCTACTTTAAAGAGTCCTCTCCTGCTGATGTTCAGGTGTATATCAGTATGTAGTGTCTCTACTTTAAAGAGTCCTCTCCTGCTTATGTTCAGGTGTATATCAGTATGTAGTGTCTCTACTTTAAAGAGTCCTCTCCTGCTGATGTTCAGGTGTATATCAGTATCTAGTGTCTCTACTTTAAAGAGTCCTCTCCTGCTGATGTTCAGGTGTATATCAGTATGTAGTGTCTCTACTTTAAAGAGTCCTCTCCTGCTGATGTTCAGGTGTATATCAGTATGTAGTGTCTCTACTTTAAAGAGTCCTCTCCTGCTGATGTTCAGGTGTATATCAGTATGTAGTGTCTCTACTTTAAAGAGTCCTCTCCTGCTAATGATCAGGTGTATATCAGTATGTAGTGTCTCTACTTTAAAGAGTCCTCTCCTGCTGATGTTCAGGTGTATATCAGTATGTAGCGTCTCTACTTTAAAGAGTCCTCTCCTGCTGATGTTCAGGTGTATATCAGTATGTAGTGTCTATACTTTAAAGAGTCCTCTCCTGCTAATGATCAGGTGTATATCAGTATGTAGTGTCTCTACTTTAAAGAGTCCTCTCCTGCTGATGTTCAGGTGTATATCAGTATGTAGTGTCTCTACTTTAAAGAGTCCTCTCCTGCTGATGTTCAGGTGTATATCAGTATGTAGTGTCTCTACTTTAAAGAGTCCTCTCCTGCTGATGTTCAGGTGTATATCAGTATATAGTGTCTCTACTTTAAAGAGTCCTCTCCTGCTGATGTTCAGGTGTATATCAGTATGTAGTGTCTCTACTTTAAAGAGTCCTCTCCTGCTGATGTTCAGGTGTATATCAGTATGTAGTGTCTCTACTTTAAAGAGTCCTCTCCTGCTGATGTTCAGGTGTATATCAGTATGTAGTGTCTCTACTTTAAAGAGTCCTCTCCTGCTGATGTTCAGGTGTATATCAGTATGTAGTGTCTCTACTTTAAAGAGTCCTCTCCTGCTAATGATCAGGTGTATATCAGTATGTAGTGTCTCTACTTTAAAGAGTCCTCTCCTGCTGATGTTCAGGTGTATATCAGTATGTAGTGTCTCTACTTTAAAGAGTCCTCTCCTGCTGATGTTCAGGTGTATATCAGTATGTAGTGTCTATACTTTAAAGAGTCCTCTCCTGCTGATGTTCAGGTGTATATCAGTATCTAGTGTCTCTACTTTAAAGAGTCCTCTCCTGCTGATGTTCAGGTGTATATCAGTATCTAGTGTCTATACTTTAAAGAGTCCTCTCCTGCTGATGTTCAGGTGTATATCAGTATCTAGTGTCTCTACTTTAAAGAGTCCTCTCCTGCTGATGTTCAGGTGTATATCAGTATGTAGTGTCTCTACTTTAAAGAGTCCTCTCCTGCTGATGTTCAGGTGTATATCAGTATGTAGTGTCTCTACTTTAAAGAGTCCTCTCCTGCTGATGTTCAGGTGTATATCAGTATGTAGTGTCTCTACTTTAAAGAGTCCTCTCCTGCTAATGATCAGGTGTATATCAGTATGTAGTGGCTCTACTTTAAAGAGTCCTCTCCTGCTGATGTTCAGGTGTATATCAGTATGTAGTGTCTCTACTTTAAAGAGTCCTCTCCTGCTAATGTTCAGGTGTATATCAGTATGTAGTGTCTATACTTTAAAGAGTCCTCTCCTGCTAATGATCAGGTGTATATCAGTATGTAGTGTCTCTACTTTAAAGAGTCCTCTCCTGCTAATGTTCAGGTGTATATCAGTATGTAGTGTCTCTACTTTAAAGAGTCCTCTCCTGCTTATGTTCAGGTGTATATCAGTATGT